ACAGTGCCGTGTGAGCTGGTGTATTGTTGTGATGCAAGAGCTATGAATTGTTGGCGAAAAATTCAGGTTGTCTAACTTTTTCACACAGCCTTTTCANTCCTCCACAACTAGACTGAAGAACAGAAGGACAGCAACTTGTCTGTTCCCCTTCCCCCAATTCCTCAGCGCTGTTCCCATCCCCCAATTCCCCAATAAAAAATATTTTTTAAAAATCTTTAAAAAAAAAACAAAAACAATCACACCACCTTGAATCTCCCCATGTGACCAAGAACAGAGCAGGCCCAGAGGGACCGTCAGACAAAAGCAAACAGGAATGTGCTAGGTCATTATCACTTCTGTGTAGATAGTACCTGCCAGAACTCTGTTGGTGGCATTCCCTAGGAAGAGCAGCGTGTGGTAAAGGCTGCCTCATTTTTATATGAAAAATGACATCATCAATGCCTACACGAACATGGCTCCCACCCCCACACATCTCTGGAGGTTGTGATGACTTTCATTGATCAAGGTACATTCCATAGCTTTTGAAGTCAAGTCTCTACAGCCATGCTTGAAAAATGAAAAGCTACATTCACTTTCAAGCTAGGAAGCCTTTCTTATACCAAGCTTTCAGAAAGCTTTAAGAAATTTATTTCCACATTTCTAGCGATGCAATACAACAAAATTGAGATATATTCAAGATGTAATATTGGCACAGAAGACAGAGCACCTAACTGTGGAGAAGAGAAAGAAATAAAGAAAGCTTCATGGAGGAGGTGACATTTGAGCCAAGAGTGTCACCAAGATGACAATGGCAAGAAGGGAGTCAGAACAGCACAGTCTCCATTTCCCCAGCTCCTTTTGCCCCTGAGGTTCCCCGCTGGTGACATTCTGCCCCTCCCTGAGACCCCACGTGACACATCACTTCCCTCTGAAGCCTTCCTCTCCCGCCACCTCCAGCTGCCAGCAGAACTGATTGCTTTCTCCACACCGCTTTCTAAAGATCTGAATCACTCCTTAACACTGAGTCACATTTTATATATTTGTGTATATGTATACATGTTTGTTTACTCACTTATTAACTTCTTTTCCCTGTGAATGGCCTTTCTATTATTCAATGCTAGGAAGGACTTTAGAATTCCGTGAGTTAGATCCCCTTCTTTCAGAGGTGGAAACATGGAGACCTAGAAAGCTTCTGTGATCTGCCGACAGTCCCCTAACTCACTGTTAGAGGAGATAGTATTTAAAAATCCAGCCCTGGGGCTGGCCGAGTGGCTCATTGGTTAAAAATTGGCTTGGGAGCGCAAGCTCTGAGCTTCAAGGTCCCCAGTTCAGATCCCACATGGGCCAGTGACACTGCCCTCTACAGCTAATATGATGAACAACAGCTCGACCTGGAGCTGTTTGAGTTTCCTGTGACCACGTAGGCTGCAGCAGAGCTGCAGCTACCATAAGCTACCATGAGTGGCCGGCAGCCAGCGTGAGCAGCCGGAGGCGTGAGCTGCCATGAGCCACCACGATCGCCGTCCAGTGGCCGGCGACTGACTGCCTTACCCGGGAAGAGCACAATGATAATACCAACATGGGCCAGTGAAGCGATGTCCTCCACAACTAGACTGAAGAACAAAAGAATAGCAACTTGTCTGTTCCTCTTCCCCGATTTCCCAATAAAACCTTTAAAAATAATAATAATAATTAATAAGAAGAAGAAGAAGAAAAAATAAAAATAAAAATCCAGCCCTACAGTAGGAAATTTGAGGGAGGACAATTAGAACCTTACACATTAGATATAACGTACATATCTCAATAAATGTGAGACAGAGACACAGGGCAAACTGGGCGCATACAAAGCCAAACTAATAAATAGATCAGTGGCACTAAGAATATGGGGCGCCGGGTTAGAGCTCTCAGGCCCTCAGTCCAGGGAGCCCGAGGTTTGAGTCCTGGCGGGGGCGCTGCACGGAGCAGGGGTAGGGCGAGGCGAGAGGACGTGAGGACTGTCGCTGCTGCTCTGGTCGGCCCCCTGGGGAGCTCGGCAGGTGTGTGGGTCCCCACAGAGAATACCTATTGCATAGACCTTTTTGAGTGCCAGGCGTCTAGCGGGACACAGCGCCCGTTGCACAGACATCTACAACTGAGAGGGGTACCTGAGCTTGGAAAGCGATGTGGGGGACACCGGCGGTGACCGCACTGGGGTAGCCCATCCCGGAGGACTGGAAAGGACAGAAAAGCAGGTCCTTGAGTGGCCGNGGAAATAAAGAGATAAAGCCTAAAGCTGAAAAATCAAAATCATGTAGCAACACAAACATGTAGAGACCAGTGGGAGGTCAATACCAATAGAATTGGTTTAAAACAGTTGAAAGTTATCACCTCTGGGGGTGAAGGCATGGTAGGAGAGGGGGCCGGAATTATTGTTTTAACAAATCTTATAGAAGTACGAGAGTATTTGATTCTTTAAACTATGTATGTATAACATAATTTTGCTAAAAATTAAGAGAGTGTGGATAGGAAGAGATCTGAGGCAGTCCAGGCAGGACACTCTTTCAGGGACAGTGACTGGGAAGAGCCCTTGGGGTGGAGAAGTTGGGCTATAGAACAGAGAGGGGATTTGATGTCTCATTCTTTGGGAGAGATGACATGTTCATTATCTGTGGTGGGGAGAGAGGGAGGAGAACCCTGCAAAGAGGAAGAGTTTGAAATTACAGAAGCAGAAGTGGCTATTAATTGTCTATTCTAAAAGAGACTAAAGGGAGCCAGATCAAGAATGCAAGAAGGCAGTTTTTTTAATGAGAGACAATTTACTTTGAGACTGGAAGGGGGGAAATGTGAGTATGAGGGCAGATACATAAATCTAAAAGATCTGGAATTGTTCCTAGAAGTTCCACTGACTTCTGGGTAATGTATACATAGTGAAAAAAGCACACTCTGGTCAAAGAAAGACAATTTAATGACTTTATTAAACATTAGGTCAGAGATCAGAGAAATGCCTCTCCAAGGATGCATCAAGTTAACTTTTAAGCAAAAAGTCAGCAGAGATCAGGGCACATTACAGATAGACATATCTTGTGATGTCTTCTGAGAACAACCCATTCTTCTTTCTCTGAGAAAAACCCAACCCCTCACTTCAGAGGTGGGTGCTCGGTAGACATGTTTGTGCTGTGGGATCTTGTCCCCCTGGTCACAGTACATTGGACTGGGATGGACACCTACCCCAAGTTTGACCCAAGTCATTTATTTTTCCAAGAATTTAGATTGTGACTGGGAGACATAGTTTCAGTGGGTGTCTAGAGCTGAGGTGATATACAAACTCAGGAGCTGTAGGGTGGGTATGTTAGCTGAAAAGGACAGTCCACACAGAGGGAGACATATGGCTAATATATCTA